TTGGTGGGTTCTTGGAAAATAGTACCTCCTTAATAAATTTTATTTTCCTAAAGATAAAGATCCTGTTAACCCTTTGCTTCCTATTGAAGGTCATTGATGATGATTCATTAGAGACTACATATTTTAGAAGCAATTTGGTTTTTCTTCTGCCTTTTAAAATGAAAACTATCCAAACTCTATTCATTTATATTTTTTAGACTATGAAAGAATTCTGTTAAAAAATAAAACAGAAACAAACTACAATGTCGGCTCCATATTAGTATTTCTGAAGGAAGGAGATACAAAACCAAATGAGGAGAAATAAGGAAAAAGGAAAGAAATAGTGGAAAGGTCAGGAGTGGAAGGAAAGTCAAGCAGAGTGGAGATACTTAAACTGTTTTTTGTTTTTGTTTTTTCTACTGGGGATTGAACCCAGGGGCACTTTACCATTGAGCCAAATCCCCAGCCCTTTTTGTATTTTATTTAGAGACAGGCCTCACTAAGTTGCTGAGGGCCTCACTAAGTTGCTGAGGCTAACTTTGAACTTGCCGTCCTTCTGCCTCAGCCTTTTGAGTGGCTGGGATTACAGGTATGTGCCACTACACTCGGTTGCAGAAATTTTGGATGCCTTGATCTGATCCTCACTCTCATTCATCAATAGGCCTTCTTAACATGTAAAAGCAGCATAATCCACACTGACTCATCTGTGCATCCGCCAAGAGAACCCCATTACACCCACCCTGACTTTGATCCATGAAAAACTCTACTTATCCTCTTTTACTCATCTCACCAGTCACATGCTCTAGGGTGATAAACAGCTGATGCCCATCTCAAAATACTGAAATACATGTTACTTGTTGGTAAATCATTTTCCCCATACCTTCTTTGCTAGGACCCCTCAATTTCAAGAAATTTTGCAATTAGAGTTAACATGAAGCACAGCTGTGTCCTCCAAGCCCTTCCAGCATCTATTTTGATTGATTAGTGTCCTTGACATGTTTGTTATGAAATGTTTTCAAGATCATCTCTGAACTATACAGCTACAAATATTTACCCTGTTTCCTATTGCCCTTGCAACACAGCCTGACCCCAGGTCTGTATTAGTTACCTTTAGAAATCTAAAAACAACAAGGGTTAAATTAGAGAAGTGTTTACTTCTCTCTCATGTAACAGAAATTGTTAGGTGCGCACTACAGAATGTGTGCTAGAGCTCCAACGTCATCAAGGGCCAAAGATCTTCCTTACTTCACTTTTTCTTCATTATGCTGTCACATTTGTGATACAAGACAGCTTTTTGGGTCTTTGGACAGTAGACCCTCAGGAAGGAAGATAGACAAAACATAGTACCTCCTATCTGAAATAACTCCTTTGGAAAGCATTTGCAGATGCCCCATAACATTTCTGCTTATAGCTTACTGGCTACGATTCAGTCACATGGCATATTTATCAAAATGGGAGACTGGGAAATATAGTCTGGCTGGGGATGTTATTCCTCTGAATAAAATTTAAACTGTTTTGAGAAAAAGGGAGGGCCACAGAAGTATATAATGCAGATTCCTTCTTTACAGAAGAGCCACTGTCCTAAGCAGTCAGATATTCATCTGGGAGTTCAGAGAATGCCTTGCATCATCAAAGGTCAGAACAAAGTGGCAGTCCATGGAGCCACCCTTAAAAGCACAGTCTAGTGACTTGTCATCACTGTGTGTGGTCTATTGTCACAGAGGTGTGCCTTTCCTTACATGTGGTTAATCAACAGGCTACCTGTTATTGACTTCAAACAGGAGAGGCAAGAACAAAGAAGCCAAGGAGGCAGCAGGAAAAAGAGAGAGAAGTTCAGAATCTCTAGGTAGACTGCAGATCCAAAAATGTGAAAGAACAAAAGAGTGTTGGGCCTAGAAAGAGGGCTATGTGAAGGACCTCACAGAGATTGCATTCAGAAACAGGGGGAGCAAATGAAATCTCTGATAAGCTCTGGGTGTCACACTGCGGATCTCATAGTTGCTTCACTGCTGTGTTCACAAATTAACAGAGAACTCAAGGAAGCTTCTCTGGAGGTCTTCCATAGTCACAAGTAATGATGTGTAGTCACCTTGTTTTTTAAAATCTAAAACAAAAATTATTGTCCTTAGTGCATCCAAGACTTCTTTAGATACAGCAGACCATATAACTACTGATTTGTTAAACACTTACTCGGATGATGACTACATTAAAAAAATCCAGAAGCGCTTAGAAGAAGATGCTTTTGCAAGGGAGCAAAGGGAGAAAAGACGGCGGAGGTTATTAATGGACCAGTTAATAGCCCATGAAGCACAGGAGGTAAGATACTTAGATGCTTAAAGGTGCTGGGAACTTTACACACTTTCATCTTCTATATACACAAATATGTACCTTATACATGTATTGTCTGCATCAAGTGTCACTGGTCTATCCTCACATCAGAATAGCAAATATTCCTAGGGGGAAAAAAACCTACATGTTTGTTAAAGAACCTAAAATCTGTTGATGGTTGCACAAAATTGTGAATTTATTTAATACCACTGAGTTGTACACTTACAAATTGTTGAGATGGTAAATTTCACCTTATGTATGTTTTACCACAATAAAGAAACACCGATGAAAAAAGGATCTAAAATCTATACTATCCGCATGGTCTCTTGTTACTTCTAGAAGTAAAGAGAACTTCTGGCAAAAGAGGTGTTCATCTTCAAAATTTGTTCATTAGTCTACTCCAGTGGTTCTCAAAATGTGGTTCCTGGACCTGCAGCATTAGCATCACCAGGGGTTTTTAGTAAAACAAATAACTGGGCCCCACCCAGCTGAATCAGGCACTGTGGGTGTGGGTCCCCATGGTGATTTTGATACAGTTACAGTAATAGAATCACTGAGCAATTTTTACACGGAACACACATTCCCTTTACCTCTTTGGTGCTCTGGGGACTTTTGTGAGGCCCAGAGATAGCATAAAGAGTAGTAATAACAAGAAACTTGATTTCTCCCACCTTACTATGTAGAGAGGATTTGTAAACAGGCAAGGACATTCAAGGATAAATGCTATAAGGTGATGGGGGGAGGTAGGTGACCCAGAGCCAGAGCAGGCTGGTCCACCTAGCCTGGTGCAGAGGGGGCGTCTGAAGAACCACAACAGAAGCATGGAGAAGGGTCAGGAGTTAACTAACTGAAGTTGGGAATGGATGTGGGGGTGGAGGTGAGAGGGTTACCAGGGGTTATGAAGATGGTGGAAGGTGAAGTGAGTTTCCAAAAGAGAGAAGATTATGTGGAAAGGAAGGCTCAGTGCTTTTATTCTGATTTTTTTTTCTTTTTTTCTTTTTTTTTTTTTTTTGATACTGGGGATTGAGCCCAGGATACTTAACTATTGAGACAGATCACAGCCCTTTTTATTTTATATTTTTAATTTTGAGACAGAGTCTCACTAAGTTGCTTTGGGCCTCATTAAGTTGCTGAGGCTGGCTTTGAACTTGGGATTCTCCTGCCTCAGCCTCCCAAGTTGCTGGGATTACAGGCATGCATCAGGGCAGGCTCAGTGCTTTTAGCTAACTAAAAATCAAGTCATGTGGCAGGAGTCACCAGAGACCAAATCATGATGAAAACATAGAGGAAGAAAGGAGATTTTACAATTTCCTATTTGAGTGCAAAGAGGAACAAGAGTGATGAGGTCAGACTTGCCTTTTAAAAGTTCATTCTGGCTTAAATTTGAAGAATATTATTGCATGAGGGCAAAACAAGCCATAGCTATTGCTGTAATCCAGATAACAGATCATCCCACTCTGAATTTAGAGTAATGACAGTGGGGATTAAGGGAAATGACTTCAAAAGAGATGGTTTAGAAGCAAAATCAATATAATTCAATGGCTTATAGACATAGGGGTATTAGTAAGTGACACAAAAAGCCAAATTTCTAGCTTGTGCACCTGGATGTTGGAGTTGTCATTTGCTAAGATGATGGAAGCAACAGGGGTGGGAGGGTGTGGCATCAGTGGTAATGCATCCAGGATGAATGTGCATGTCTAAGATATGAGAACCATTTGAAGTTGCCTCTTCTGTTCACCAACAACATGAGTCTGCTCAGGGGTCTATTACCTAAGCCACTGTGTAAATATGAGGAAATAAACTATTCAAGGGTTCCACTCCTTACTCACTCTAGGACATCTCTTTGTGTTAAAAGATTATTTCTTCATATTCACATATTTTTTACTCAGCTTGGTCATCTTTCTTTTATTTAGAATCATAAATTAAGAAAATTAAATAATTGAAAAGATCTCTTTAAACTTACATATTCCAAGCTTTATCATTTAGCAATGGAAAGTTGGACATACATTGATGTTACAAAACACTTGTGTGTTGGTGGTAAGGTTTTCTCAGCCTAAAATTTAGGCCTGATATTTACCTGGAAAGTAGGGTGAATAAAATCTATCTTGCTTCCCACACTTCCCATTAGGATACTGTTAGTATTGATTGTGAAGATGTGAAGACTAAAGCTAGAGCTTTGTTTATCAGTTTGGGATTCCAAACTGGTACACAAGACCCAGGATTCTGGGTACCTCCTTCACGGTAACCCCATTTCCTGCTACTGCTTCTCTATGGCTGGGAAAGCAGCTGTCTTCCTAGAACTGGGCCTGGGGCCTGCAGCAAGGGTTCTCTGCTCTCATGGCCTCCTGTCCATGGAGTGCAGTGTACCCAGCTTCCCTGTGCCACTGACCCAGTGGCATGAGTGCACAATGGTGGGGTGGGTTATTTTCATGTGCCACATGGCCTGTTTGTCCATCTGTCCTCTATCTTCAAAGAGAAAATGCCTATTTATTCGGGCTAGGCCCTCCTCTACTTCCTTCTGGTACCCCTGCATTTCAACAGGAAGACATGAATTCCGTCAGCTCTGGATGCTTTTCTTCTGGCTCCATTTTCATGAATCTATCAAATATGTCTCAAAATATCTTCCTCAGCTGTCGCAGTTCTCCTGTGGAATTTATATGCCCTCATCTTAGTGTAGTTGGTGAGGACAACCAGAGCCCTGAGCATGAGTTGTAATCCTTCCCAGTGATCCCTCAAAAAGGGGAATTCCGTGGACTAAATTATGACATTTAGTTAGAAAGTTTACTTTGGCTTTTTGGAGCATAAGTGTTATGAGTGGGAATGGAGGGGAAGGAAGGCACAGTAGGAAAGGTAATGTCACCAAGGTTAGGAGTACCAGGGGGTACAGAAAGGAGTAAGGGGTGATTTTAAACCATGCATAGGTTATATGATAGATGACTACTGGAAGAATTAGGTATTAGGAGTAGTAAAAGAGACTTAGGTTGGCCCTGTTATCTTACAACACAGGGTTCTTATAGGATCATCACCTGAGACAGGGAAATATGGGAAAAGGGGATTAGGGAATTTGGTTTTTAACTCGGTTGGGTTTAAAATACTTCAAGGTGTTTGAATGAAGACTTTCAGACTGGGAACACAAGAAAAGAAAAAGAAAAGAAAAAAATAAAAATAAAAGCACTGAGCCATTTGATTAGTTTCTTGGTTAATTCTTGGCCCCCAATCAGACATCTCTGTCTGCCAAGAACCTTTCCTACAATATTTTCTTGGAGCTGACATTTGAATGTCAGACCCCTCCCTCACTTCATAGCTTCAAGCTCCTTGAATATTTAACTGGGTCTTTCCTGCAGTAGCCCACTCCTCCATGAGAGCTGCATGGGCCTCTTTGAAGAATTAAGCAATGGCTGTGGACCTATGTAAACTTCTAGTTCCAACTCATGGGAGAAGCAGAGAGCCTGGCAGTCAAGTTGATACGATTCTGGATTGTAGATTTGTTTAAATCCTCTCCAAACATAGAAAATATAATTAAAACTGAAGTGAGTCTTCTATGATTTTTCCATTTTGTTCATGGCAAACATCCATGTTCTAGGTTGAATGAACATTTATAATCTATCCTGAGCTCCTAATAATAACTTATATCTTAATTTCTATGAGAAAATATATCCTAAATTCCATTGAGATTTGGGGAAACAGACTGTTTTTAAAATGAGAACTCCTTGTACAATAGAATAAAAAAATTTATATTTTCCACTCAGCTTTTGAGTATCACACACTTTCTGGTTCTATATAATGAGGATTCATATGGATAGAATTGACTTAGCCATAGTAATTTCCTTCTCTTTTTCCTACTTTAACCATAATGTGTTATCATCTAGCAATAATCAAAGTATAACTGACCAACTCAATGTTCTTCCTAGGGGCTAAATGACCAGATCTAATCTTGTCAGTTACATTGCCTTGCCACATAAACATAGTCTCATCATCTAAACGTCACTTGAAATAATAAAATATGTTTATATTTAAGAAAAAAAATCTTTGTTGGGACTGTGCCTCATGTATCAAAACTACCCACCAAATGTGGTAAACGCTTTGGCCTGGGATCAGCAGGGCTTGCTGCTACGTCTTTGGCCGGTTGGTAGAGTTGACTGACTTATGAAAACTGTCAGGTCCTGCTAAAAAGACTGGTGTTTTCCCCAAAAAGATGTCTCATTTTTTAGTAGACCAGACTATGAACTTGGTGGAAGTGGAAGGGAGAATGAAGGAATCTGACCTCACATGTTTCTTTTCTTTTTCTTTTGTTTTTTAATCTTACATTTTATGTTTTGATTTGGGGGCTGGTGTTCCACAGGTCAATTCATACTCCATATTTAAAGAGAAGAGAAATAGAGTCTACTTTTTGGTTGGGATGCCTGAAGGGAAATACTGCAAGGCTATGAATGAACAGAAGGGAAGAACTTGTGACCATTTTTACATTCTGCCTCACCGCCAGTATTGGATCTGAGCAGGAAAACAATTATTAACATTAGTTGCTCATGATGTTATTTACCCCATTTCTCTTACCAACAGAAAAAAGAATCATATACTTATTTCTTGAACTTAAATCTACATGTTTTTAAATAATGCCCAGATCCAGGCTTCATCATTTACCATAGTGTCATTTTTATTTGCGTTTTTGTTCTATTAAATATATAATATTGTTCCTGTAATTTTCTGATGGTAGAGACCATCTGAGACAGTGCCATTTAATGATTGGATGAATCATAAATCATTGTATTGTTAACATTAAACGTAAAACTCCATTGTTTAGGTGTTTGTCTAAGTCCCCATTGACTACTAAATTACCTCCTCTTTCCACATGATGTCTCTGTTTAGACACATTGAGAGGGCTTGATGTGGCCTGAGAGAACATCTTCCATCTTCAAACCTCTCATTGCTGCCTGTCATGAAATAGACCTGCAAAACAGAGCTATTTCCCCAAAACTACACAATCGGGATGCAAGATCCAGGACCTCTGATTCCTGCTTAATTTTTTTCCCACTCTTTTTACTGTCCCTCCCCTTATATTATCCTAAAATAGATAAATACAACTAGTTTCCATTTCAGATTATAACCACTCATATTTTCAGAGATAAGTCAGTTATTTCCACTGAACTTGTCTCTATATCCTATCAGTCTTAACATTCTTTCAGATTTTAGCCTTTCTTTATACAGATATGGAGATGTCCCCCACAGGGAACTAACCAGATCTGCTCATTTCCTGGACAATGTCTGCCTTTTTTTTTTTTTTTACAGCTAGTAGTTCTGTTAGAATGCATATAACACATTTCAAAACTTCTGAAAACATGCTTACAAATTGAGAATCACATTGCTCATTTGTAAAACCTTGGGAGAAAAACACCTAACTTGTTTAATCAGATTTTAAAAGAAGTAATGATTCATTTTAAAGTAATTGTGAGTTTCAAGACCATTATAATTCTAGATAACAAAAGTTGTGCAACCTCTTCTGGGAATTTTCTTTTTTATAATTTGTCTTTTGTCATGTTCAAGTTTAAATCAAATGGCAGAAATTGATTTATATGAATATTAAGCCTTTTACTTATTATTTAGATATGGGCTTCTTAGCCCAATGGGAAATTTGGATGTGGCTTTGATAGATAATTAGTCTCTGGCTGGTGTTTGCAGGAGGCTTATCGAGAGGAGCAGTTGATTCACCGACTAATGCGACAGTCCCAGCAGGAACGCAGGATTGCTGTGCAGCTCATGCATGTGCGGCATGAAAAGGAAGTTTTATGGCAAAACAGAATATTCAGAGAAAAACAATATGAGGAAAGACGACTTAAAGATTTTCAGGATGCTCTTGATAGAGAAGCGGTAAACATTTTCTCCCTTAAAAACCTTTCTGAAGTTTCTTTTGACCCTTTCTACCAAATCATGGTAAACAAAGCTGTATTTTGTTGTCAGTTGCCAAAAGAGAGTTATTTTTTTATATGACCTGATAATTTGCCATCCATTTTTATTCAAATAAACTGCATTAACAGAGAAGATACCCGCTACCTACTGTACTCCCTTCTTTTCTTCCCAATTCTATAAGAAACTAAGTGTTGAATGATCACCATCAATCCTTCTGTTCTATGTCTCTGGCTATTTTAATTATCTGAAGCTCCTTATCCAATTAATTCCTCAGGAAGGGTTCATGGCAACAGTATTCCCTGATACGAGTGTGTACCCTTTATATGTGATTGTTAGTTTTGCTATCTATAAAATGCTTACTTAGTTCACCATTTTCCTTGAATATCTTAAATACACCAGCCCATTTTCTTCAGGTATAGAATGTTACTGTCAAACTGGTGATAATCAATTTTTCATTTCCTTTAATCATTATTTTTTTTCCTCTACATACCCAGAACACTTTCTTTCTTTCAAAGTCCACTTGTTGCTAACAGAAGCACAGGTGTTGTTTATCCTCAGTGAATAATCTCAGTGAGATCTTTTAAGCTGCTTGCTTTCAGCAAGACACGATTAGTTTTCCATACACCAACCTTACCTTCTGGTCAAACAAGACTTTTCAGACCAACATTGTATTATTTCTTCCTCAGGACTCTAAGAGTCATTGGCCTAGGTTCCTCTGGAGTGTTGCACTTGACAATGTTACATGGAAAACAAGATAGAGCTTCCAGGCATGCTGTTTGCTATGATGGTGCCATTCTTAGAAATATCATTTAGAAACTATCATACTCTCCAGAGTCAGGAAAGGAAAGTAATGTTCTTCTCTGTAGAATGGGCAGACCCTAAATGGTGGAGGTGGGGATCCGTACCACATGAACTTGAGGTGCATGAATGCTGACCTCCAGGGTCCTCTTAGGCCTCAAGAACTGAACTATCTGATTGTTTCCTCCATCCCATAGGTAAGAGTGGACTTGAAGAGTGGACTTGAATGTATTGAATAGTATTCATTTACATTAGAAATGACATGTTTAGTTATCTTTCTAACTCACTGTTTGGAAAATAGGTTTCCTTCACAAGCACAATTAATTAAAAGCAAAGCTCTTTTTAGTTGGACTGTGCTCACTAGGATGAAAAGCATCACCACATCACCTGTTATTTGTTTATTTATTTATTTCCTTTCCCACCCCTAGCTTCTCTCTTTCAAGAAGGCATATTTCTGTGTTGCCCAGGCTGGCCTCAAACTCCTGGGCTTGAACAATTCTACTATCCCAGCCTCCTAAGAAGCTGAGATTACAGGCAGGTGCCACTGAGTCACCTCACTGGTTCTTTCTTTAACTGAATTTGAACTGACATCAGAGGATTTGGACACTCAGTCCTGCTAAAGCCTCAGAAACCTAAGCAGGGAGGTTCTGAAGCACCTGAAACAAAGGACAGTCCCTCCTCTTACACAATTACCTTTTCTACAACTGAGATATCTGCTGTTCTGGCATCTCTTTCTGATAGATGCAGGATTTGAGTTTTTACCCATAAATATTGAATTTTTCAACTCTTCCAACAACAAATAGCTGGTATATAAGAAAGAGCCCAGTAAAGGTGCTGAATTCAATTTGTCCAATGAATACTACTACTTTTTCTTTCTACTATCATTCACTAACTAACTACACAAAATGTATTTACTAAAGCACCATATTCTTCCACTTCCTGATTGTGAAGAAGGTAGGATTTTTTACATTGCTGTTTTTCTTTAGTTTGTATTTGCTGTTCTTGTAGTTTTTATTATTGTTTGTGGGTGGCAGGAGGGAGTGAATTCTAGAAACAGCTTTACGTTTATGATATTTTTTTAAAGTTTCTGAACAATGTTTGCAGACTATCAATATTTGTGTTATTTATATAATTGTCTTGACTTGCTGTTCTATGGTCAACTTCTCTTAAGTTCTGCTGTGGAAAACAGTTTCCTAGTTATTCTCCTACTTTTCTGGTATCTCCTTAGCCTCTTTTGAAGGCCCTGTCCATTCTGAGACCAATGCATTTATTGTCAGGGTTCCTCAAAGCTTAGTTCCAGGCCACATTCTTTCCTTGTCTTATTCCTCAATCCCATCCACAACCATGAGGTGAAATTCCCGCAATAGACCAATGAGTCATTCACTTAAGGTCTCTGCCCTCCGAGGTGTAGATCCATGGGTTTAACTGCTTCCTTGACACCTCTAGTCATATATTTCAGGGGCATTTCAAGTTTAACATGTTCAGGGTCAAATTTGTGATCTTCCTCACTAAACTTGTCATTTTCCAGGTTTCATAGCTCAACAAATAGCCTCAATATTTATCAGCTTTTGCAAGTCCAAACTTATGACCCACTGGAAACCAGCTTCACCCTTACTTCTCCATATCTAAAACATCCTGAAGTCCTATTAATTTTGTGTACTCACCTTGTCTTTGATATGTCTGTTTTTCAGAATCTATACCACCACTTCTGCTTTCTACAGCTACAGTGGTCTCCCTCATCCATTTTTGGTGTATATGAGTTGGTAGCCATAAGCTGGGGTATGAAAGGACATAACATTGTTTATGTTCTTTAACTCAACCTCAGCTGGGCTCCAGCAACCCACCTTTGCCCACACAGGTACACAGTGCCCCTGATATAAGGGTCGAGTCATTGGGGTTAACATTGCATTCTTTAGGCCCACGTCCAGTTGTTGCCACCGACACCACAGCTACCACAGTCCCCATGTGCCCCTTAGTGGCACAGCAGTCCTGGGGAGGCTGCTCCAGCTTTTTATGGTCCCCCACAGTATCCCCTTTGAGGTTTTGCTGCTTCCAAGCTGTTGCCAGGTTACAGGATGTATAGATTTTTCTTTTTCTGTTCTTGCTGAAAACCTTCTTTCATCTGAGATACCTATATTATTTTGCCTTTGAGTTTGGTCTCTCACTAAAATCAGAAGAATCCTTCAACCATTTTGGCTTTTTGTACTACAGAAATTTCCTAAAGCAGCAGTTATTTTTTTTTAACTGCTTAAAAGGAAGAAAGGGAGTAATTATAGACAACACACAGGTGGTTGATCTCCTCTCTCATCTCCTGCAATCCACTCTCAATTCTGCAGTCAGAGGCACCTTACTGATGTTCAGATTTGACCTTTGTCTTCTCACTCAGAATCACATCCCTAGCTCCCCATCAGCGACATACTGGTTCATGACCCTTCTTCTCCTTTGTCCCCTGGGCTCTGGCTCTCTCTCTCTGCTCTAAGATCCTTGAATAAGTCATCATTCCCCTGTTGCCACATGCCTTCATCAGTGAACTCACTGTTCAGAGCCCTGTGTACTTGTCTCTTCTTGTCTAGGTCAACACCCCTACTATGTGTCCCTATACTCACAGTCTATCCCTGGTGACACATCATAGTGTGTGATTTGTCATTTATTCATGTGGCTTTATGACTGTTTGCAAATCCTACTGCCATGATAGCCCCCAGGAAAGCATAATTATGATTGCTTTTCAATTTTTTATTGTTTTTATTACTACATTATAGGTATACATAATATTAGAGTTCATTTTGACATAATCATGCATGCATAGAAAATAGTTTGCTCTGCAGAAGCCCTCTCCTAATGTCTGCTACATTTGAAAGGAAGAGGGAGAAAAAGAACTTTGTGATTTTAGCCTTCAAAAGGTTTTTAAAAATTTTTTTTTGTTCTCTTTTAAAATTAAATCTGCAGACCCCTTCCTTTAAGGCAATTGAACAGCCATTCTATATGGAGACAATTCCTGACTTTCAATTTCTGTGCCACCTACTATTATTGTTACCAATAATCAACTGCAATCATGTTTAACATTTTGAGCACTTCCTTTTGCAGGCTCTTTCTCTTCTGAGACCAATGCATTTATTGTCAAGGTTCCTCAAAGCTTAATTCCAGGCCACATTCTTTCCTTGTCTTATCCCTCAATCCCTTTGAGTCAAGCGCTGCACTGCATTCATTACATGCACATTTAATTCTGAAACAGCCACAAGTAGACACAGCCCTTATTTAAATTTTACGCAGACGGAAAATGAAACATTGAAGGCTCAAAGTCACAGCTTGTAGTGCTGCAGCTGGAGCAAACCCTGCTCTATCAGACTCTAGAATCCAAGTTCATAACCACCGAGATTTGCTACCTCCCACTGACTTCCTTTTTTCTTTCCTTCTTTCTCTTTTTAGGGTTGCAACCTACTTTGCTGTCATGAGATAGGAAATTGTGGTGGGTTTCACACATAGTTAGTGGTAGACACAGAAAAGGAGGGGAAGGAAGACAAGATAGCTGGATGGACAGGAGGAATGGAGGAAGGGGGAAGGAAAGAAAGGAGGGGAGAAGAAAGAAAGGGAAGAAAACACAGAATGA